CTAGGTTTGATCCTGACTTTGCCACTTGCTAACTCAATGAATGTCAACGAGTTATTTTACCTTTGCATCTTCACCTGCTAATATGTAAAGGATAATAGGCCACAGCTTTTAATGGCTCAAGATACTGTGCCTGCTCTGAGTCATTTTCCACTCTCAAATTTTGAAATCTGCTGTGTAAATATGATGGCTTGTACCTCTACTAATGAAATGTTCTCACCCCAATCCTCATGAAATGAGGTTTGAGGGCACTGACCTGGGCTCTTGACATTCATTTGTGATCTGAGGATCTAGTCTTGGACCTACACTGGAGAAATTCCAAGGTGAAATCTGTGGCTTGCAAAATGCCAGTTGAGTATGTAGGCTTGTAACAGGGTGGTCCCCAGGAAAAGGGGAAGTTCCAGGTTCCCTACCCCACACAGAAGGAGGGTGGAGTTGAGCAGAGAAAAAGAAGAAAAGAGAAGGAATCTGAGGAAATAGAAGGAGGCAGGATGGAGAGACAGAAGGGGACCTGAGGAAGTCACATGGAACAGCAAGCATGTGATAAAGAAACCATGCTTGTTTCTTGGCTCCGGACTGGTTGAAAGTGATGTGGGTAAGAGACCCATGGGGAGGTTGACTATGGCAGTGTTTATATTGATTTTGGTTTTGCTCTTTTCTTCCCAGACTTGTCTGGCCATTTCTGACTTTTTTTATGGGTCCCAGCCAAAAGGTGCTTTAGTCTTGTGGTGGGCTTTCAGGCCTTCCTTTGGACCAATCCCTTCTGGGTGGACTTTTGCCCACGAGGGGATGGGTAACCTCAGGTGTTTGATTTAGAAATTACATTCTTTGTCTTCTGTGTTGTAGATTCACTGTATTAAAGTCCCTTTTCATTAAAGTCTTACGTGTTTTGTCTTGATGCGACAGATGGCAGAATAGAGCAGGCAGGTTTGGGGGCTCATGGTGCCCCTCTCTCCCTGCCCTGTAACAGGCTGAGAAAATACATTTACTTGAATATGTTTAGGAAGAAGACAGACATCTGTCTATTTCTTGGAGGCCAGAAGCAGGGGAAAGAAAACCAGTCATAAGCTGGCTTAAAGGAGCTTTGTCCAAGAGCAAAAAGGGATCCCAACTATAAGGAACTCCTTACATAATTATGAAAACCAGAGCTTGCAAAGTAGGTACTATTAGGACCCCTATGTTTTGATCGAGGTAAAAGTGTCAGCTTTACAATACCTGTCAACCTGCAGAAGCAGCTCTAGAGAGTCAACTTCATACTTGGACTATAAAGTCCCGTATGGTTAAAATGTTTTGTGGTTCCTCCTTTTCTGGACACACTTCAGCCTCTTTCCCCAACCAGATTTACTAAACTTTCACCAATCCCTGAATTCATCTTTTCTGACTAGACTGGGATCTGTCTGGAGAGCTTCTGTTTTCTGAAACATTTCTGTTCCATGTAAACTCCTCCCAAACGCTGGAGGTTATTAGCCAGGTAAAGATAAGATGCCCTTTGTAGGAACAGTAGTAACAGACTCACATTATCCAATGCATTGTCAAGGGAAAGTCAGGCACAGCATAGCACACAATCTTCCATCATAAGTCTACCTAGTTAAAAACTAGACTTTGTCAGCTTAAAGACAAACCTAGAGAGGAGAAAGGAAAGCAGAGGGGGTAAGGTGGAAGTGAGAGATACTTTAATGCATGCCAGTACTTGACAAGGCACTGAGAGTATGAAAATAAAGCGCTAAAGATGCTGCAAGGATCATCTTGGGCTTCAGGATTTTGGGTGGGCTTCACAGATTCACAGACAGGAGCTCAGAGTTCAAGGGCAATCTCCAAGTGTCTATCTGAAAATGAGGGCCTGGAAGTAGGACTGAAGCTAATTGGGGTGAGGGATTAAAGGAAAAAAGATGGCCTGGTAAATGGAAGTGGGTTGTAAAAAGCACAGATGCTAGGGTGAGAAAGGCAAATGCCCATAGGAATCCATGTAGTGAAAGCATGATTTTTGAGGAGCCTCAGCATATTAAAGCTTAAATCCCTTTTTAATGTCCCTAGAGCAAAGAATCTACACTTGACTTTCTCAAAACAAGGGAGGAGAGAAGGGAGTCCAGCAGGAATAAAGTATTTCTTCCCAAATACCATGGACACATTACATACACATTTAATTTCAAAAAAAAAAAAAAGAAAAAGCCCTTATGATTATTTAAGAATCTGAGTGCTTTGAAAGGTTTTCCTTTATAGAGGTCAGTAGGAAGTTCTTACCTAGATATCCCTAGAAAGACTTTCCTACCAGTCTAGCATCAGTACCATGTATTGTCCAAATTACCACCTCCATATACTTAGCCAAAGACATCAACAAGCAGAGGAAACAATATAAAGAATGCCCAAGTGCTTGCTTCATTTACCATAATTTGTTGTTTCATAGTCCCCTTTTCAACACATTGCCATGGACTAGAGAGGACAGTGTTATTCATTGTTGCAATCTAGGCCCACAACAGGGAATCTGGCACAAAGCAGGCCTTCAACAAACTGTGGGGGGCTGGGTGAAAGGTGGTTACCCCAGTTGCAACAATGAGTAACAATGTCCTTTCTAATATACATGAATATGCTGCGTGAGGGAGGCACTTGGGTGTTCTTTATACTATTTCTTCTGCTTCTTGGTGTGTTTGACAGTTTTCCTAATAGGTAACTGTTCTTTTCTCTTGTAAGGAAGCCAGATCACAAAGGCAAGTTCAGCCCTGAAGTTACATCCAGGGTATTAGAGGAAGTCCTTGGGGGCAAGGTGCAGAAGGTTGCCAAGAAATACCTCATGATGGAGGATAACAGTTCTCTAAAAGTACTTGCTCAGATTAAGTAAAGATGCCAAAAACTACAGCCCTGACTTGGCATCTGGCTGCACTGGGAGGTGCTAATAGTCAGGCTCAGAAGTAAGGGACTGTCCTTTCTTCCTTTTTAGTTCTTGACCTTTGCTTATGGTCAACAGAGGCAAATTGATATTCAAATAGACACAACATCTCCAGAGTACCTACTGTGTGGCAGCTGCTGAATAAAAACTTTGATTTAGATCCTGTTAGAGCCATTTTACAGGGGGCAGAACCCTGGAAACCTGGGAGAATGCCTCAAGGTGTGGGGAATGGCACAACAAGGCAGGACAAGTTCAGGAATTCAGTTCTTCCAATTTCAAGTCATAGCAAACAGGTCAGATACTTAGAATCATAGTTTTGGGCAAGTCATTGGATCTTCCTGAGCTTATTCAATTTCTCTGTCGAGGAAAGAAAAATTAAAAAGTATCGTAAAATCTTGCAAGTTTTTATTTTTTAATTTTTTAAACTAAGCATCAAAGATCATGACTGTCGAAATCCTAGCCTCGCATGAAACCAGAGCTCTGTAAATGGCAGCCATCATTCTTGGCCAAGTGCAGGAGCATCCTCCTGGGTGAGCCTCCCGCGGAGTCCCTCAGGACTGGCCGGGACCGGCCCCGGCGGCACCAGTCAGCCATGCTGGAGGCAGGTGGCCCCCGGTCTCTTTCTTGCCCACGCCCCTCACAGAGCCGAGAGCGCGGGCGGGTTGGCTGATCAAGGTCTCCCGAGAAGGTTCGCCTCCCTCCGCCCGCCCTGCGCAGGTGAGGTTTCCGGCCCAGGTCGCCCGGACAACGACCTTAGGAGGTCGAGGTGGACACCGCGGTCCGCGGCCGGGACAGGGGCCCTAGGGCGCCCCTTGCCCAGCTGAGATTTAACCCAGAGTTGGTCCCGGCGCCGGGGCCCGCGGACTGAGCGCTCTGCGGCTGCGAAAACCCGGAGAGGCGGATCGGAGCGCTCGCAGTCAACTCCTCCGCGGTCCGGCCGCCGAGCTGGGCATGCTCAGTGCGGCCGCCGCGCCGCCGTCCGCCAACTCGGAAGCTTGCGCTCCCCGGCCGCGGGGGAGAGAACGCCGGCGGCGGCGAGCTGGCGTCGCCCGCCACCCCCGGGCTGTGGCAAACTTCGCGGCGTCCCCGCAGCTCGCCGGGAGGAAACTGACCCCTCGCCAGTAAAATCAGACTCAGTCCCTCCCATCACTACCTGAATCATGGAGGCTGCGGTCGCCGGTGTGCCGCCACCGCCGTCGGCCCCAGCCCACTAGCCGGTGACCAACAGGTAAACTGTTGGGGGCGGGGTGGGTGGGAGGAGGAGCTCGGCCGGGCGGGAGGGCGCCGGGCTGGGGGAGTCCGAGACTCGCGCGGGCTGGCTGTCCGGGCGGCGCTCACTGCCAACCTCGTCACCCCGCTTCCCCGGCCCCTGGAGGGGCAGGAAAGGGTTAAGTCGGCCCCGCGCCGCCCTGAGCACAGCCCCCTCCAGCCTCCGCGGCCGTCAGCCGCGCGCCCCGTTGCCCCTCTGGGGCTCCCGAGGGGACCCGAGCCCTGGATGCGCCACTCGAGCCCTCCAGGCGTCTCGGAGACACTGGCCGCATCCCTGTCTCCCCATCCCCTCCAGGCCTCGCTCCCTCCACCCGGGTCCGCGCTTAGGTGGCGGGGTCTGTGGGGCGCGTGGCGGCGGGGGAAGGGTCCCTGCCAAGAAACAAGGCTGGGGCGGGCCGCTCGGCGGGCGCCTTCCTCGGGCGGGGAACGGCCCCTGCCTGGGGGAAGCACTTGAGCCTCCCGCCGCGGCGCCAATAAAAGTTTTTTTTTTTAACATCCCTTGCCCCTCCCCCACTCCCACCCGGCGCCCAACTGGGGTGGGTTTGGGTCCATTGGTGAAAAAAGTCACACGTTCCCATCAGCTGCTCCTCCCCCTGGGGACGCGAGGCTGGCGCCGCGGAGGACCCTGGCAGACCTCCAGTCCCCCGCCGACTCCGGTGCGCTGCGTACGGAGGCTCCTCGCTGCCGGCTGTCCGCGGAGGGCTGCCCCCGTCAGCGCGTGTCTGCGTGCCGGGCAGCGGCTGCATCCAACCTGCTTTATTCCTGCCTGCAGCGCCACAGCTAGTGAGAGATCCAGGAGGGGGAGAAAGGGAGTCTGTCTGCAAAGTGCTGCTCCCTGGTGCTCAGAGGCGGCTGCTCCAGCTCCAACTCTCATTCATTTTGCCGGTTAACATGAGAGATCATGGCCGCCTTCGGGCTTCTCAGCTATGAGCAGAGACCGCTGAAGCGCCCCCGGCTGGGACCGCCCGACGTCTACCCGCAGGACCCCAAACAGAAGGAGGTAAGGGCGCCTGGCGGCCTCGCCGGCAAGCTGGGCCGCGCACCGCAGCGCTGACCCGGGGCGAGTTGGCCCAGCCGTCGTCTCCCGCGATGCGGGGGAAGGGTCGGGGAGAGCGCTGGCGAGCCGCTGCTCTGTTTGGGGGTTGGGGGGGGTCCCTGGCGGCGGAAGCCGAGAGGCTGTCAGCCCTCGCGTACCACTTGGGCGCTAGCCTCCGCCTCCCGGCCCCGGGTCGCTTCCCAGTTAATCCGGCCTTGCACAGCGCTGCTGGGCACTTCCCGGGATTCTTCATTGCCAAAACCCTCCAGTTCGCTCTACCCTGCCTCAACCAGCGTTCCTTTTCTCCCTGCTGCCTCTGTCAATCCTCGTAAACTTTTTGAAAAATGTTGGAATGCAGTGCATCTGACACAGGTTTGGCATTTTGCGCCAGCTGAACTGGGACAGGGTGGGGGGTAGGATGGGTGTCCTTTTCTATTCCAATTTCAAACTGGAGTGGAAGTCATCATTTATCGAGATAAGTATTAAGGTCTTTGAGAGTACTTTCCCTATCACTGCTCCCCTTTAAAACATCATTATTAAGTGGAAACAGAGATTTTTGTCCCTGGAGGCGATTGGCTTAATTGCTGGAGGCTGTTTTGTATATGTAAAAGCAGGCGGGTTACCTTGGCAGGGAATAGGTCCCAAGATTGCTTTATTTCTTTGAATGAATTAATTGGAGAAACCTTGACTCTTGCCCCAGGTACACTAGCTTCAATGGCCAGTGTAACCATGGTATTTGCAGCCTTGTATGTATTTGTCAGTTGTTAACAAGTAATTATGTAACAACTCTCAGTTATAATGATCGCTCTTGGCTACACAACTTGCCCAGGGATTTGCCTTTTTTTTTTTTTTAAGATCACCTGCTACCCAGCTGTGCTTTCTGAGTTTGCCAGCTGCAGCCCACCCATCCCATGTTTTCTTCAACTAAACAGGAAGTGAACACATTTCAGAACTACTTTCTGGGAATCTACAAATACTCCATTGGAAGTTTATAGGTTCACTGACATTACAGAAAGGGCTTTGTAAAGAAGGCAAGGAGTTACTCTAGGAATTCTCTTAAAAATTATATCAGTTTCGGCCCTCCCTGGTGGCGCAGCCGGTTAAAGCACAGCATTGAGAATCTGAAGCCACTTCCGCATGAGTTCGATTCCCACCTGCCTCCTGCCCCGGAGGAGATACACATGGCGAGCCAGACCTCTCCTGGCCCGCCCACTGCT